AATCATTGACTAAGAATTACTAGGACAGATTCAGCCTGATTTGTGAACAAAACATTCAGCCCAGTTTTGGGAACTAGTTCACCTGATTCATTGAAAAGATCTGGTTCAGTAAAATGATTTATTCATTAATCAGACTTTGCTGGTGTGTGTACTGTATATGTGTGTGATTGATCAATAATTATGTGTTTGTCAACATCACACACTATCTCTCAAATACATCAAAGTCTGTTCAGATTCAGAATATGTGGTTTCCCTTTCTATTCTCCCCCCCCCCCCCCCCCCCCTCCCCCCCTCCTCCAAGAGAGGAGGAATTGAGATTTGGATGACCAAACAGACTCAAACCTGGATCCCTAGAGCCAACAGCTCATGCATGTTGTGAACATGTGTACAACCCACTGAGATGCAACTCTGACAGGGTCTCTTTGTTCAAAAATAATTTGAATTTGCACATATACAACCATTTAGTAGTCTCTCTCTCACTCAATTGTTTGTCCTCTTTTTTTCTGCCCTTCCTGGTATTCTCCTTCCTCTTTCCTCAAATGCACAGTAGCCATGCAGTTGGAACGGATATGCATTTCATATGATCTGACTGCATATAATATGAGCTATATCACATTTGATCCCTTACTATTTTTTTATTTATATATTTATTTATTTTATTTTTTGTAAAGCATCAAATGTCTGATATTTCCATTGTAATGTATAACTACTGTACGTTTTGGTGACTAATTTTGGTACATATATTTGTATGTATATCTCAAATACATTTTTGTACAATCTTCTTATGCCCCACTTCCGTTTTGAGTGGTGGGGTTGGAGTGGACCTTCATGCCAACTTTTTCAAAAAATTCAAATTCATACAAAATTGCCACTGTCTAATATAGTTTTAATTTGTCATGAGATTGAGTTGGGCTGTATGTCTTGGCAGTTGCAATGCCATTTTTTGACTATTTAACCAGTTGTAATGTGGTGTTTTGTTTCATGTTCATGTTTTCCATGTCTTTTATTTTGTAATTGTTTCATGGTCCATGTTAGTGTCATGCTTCCCTTGCCTCATGTCTCTCTAGCTGTGTCTCATTTAGAAGGCTGCACCCTCCGGAGGTCGAATCCTTTGGAGGTCGCATCCTCTGTAGGATGCATGTACGAAGTGTCCTCAACCTAGAATTAAACGAGACGGCCTTCGTAGGACAGGCGGAAAAGGAAACCGGAAGTATTACGTTGCTATGCCAACACATTTAGAGCATCGTTGCGCTCTCACACTACTTAAATGAAGGAAAATTATTTCTAAATTTGGAAAGTAATTTGAAAAAAAAATGCTTTTACTTGTTTTATTTTGTTCAATGTTTGAGGAGCTGCAGCATACATACAGCAGGCATCTATTAGAGAAAAAAGGAGGAGGATATTAAAAACAAAGTTTATCCGTTTTGACCGAGGCGAATTAAGGTAAGTTGTAAACACCACATCTGGGCTTGTGTGTACGTTACATCTGCCATCGCCGGCATTTTTCAAATTAACAACGGTTGTTCACGGCGACGCAAAGAATTGTGGGTTATCTGTAGCAGCGAAGGATACACCTCATGCATCCTCCGAAATCCTGTGAAAGAAGGTCGCATTCGAAGGTCGCATTCGGAGTGTCCTACTTGCTTTTCTGAAATGAGACAGCCTCGATGACGTATGCAGCCTTCGAATGCGACCTCCGAAGGATGCAGCCTTCTAAATGAGACACAGCTTCTGCCTTGTGTATGTGTCATGTTCTGATTGGTAGTCTTAGTCATGTGTCTTGTTCCCCATTGGTTTGTTCATGTCATGTGACCCTCCTTGTCTGCGATAAGTAGCCTTCATGTTCCCATTGTGAGCTTGTCGTGTATTGAATGTATTTAACCCGCTGTTGGTGAGTCTAGTCTGTTTATGTCAAGTCTGCTCATGCTATGTCTGTTCAAGTCAAATCAAGTCAAGTCTGTTCATGTCAAGTCAAGTCAAGTCTGTGTCTCGGATTATTGTTCGGATGTTTGGATCACTCTGTAAATAAACTGCACTTGGGTTCTCACTTACGCTCGCCTTCAATGGATGACGCTTTACAGAATACACGACCAGCTCAGGAGCCGCCCTTAGAGGGGGGATATGTAATGTGGTGTTTTGTTTCATGTTCATGTTTTCCATGTCTTTTATTTTGTAATTGTTTCATGGTCCATGTTAATGTCATGCTTCCCTTGCCTCATGTCTCTCTGCCTTGCGTATGTGTCATGTTCTGATTGGTAGTCTTAGTCATGTGTCTTGTTCCCCATTGGTTTGTTCATGTCATGTGACCCTCCTTGTCTGCGATAAGTAGCCTTCATGTTCCCATTGTGAGCTTGTTGTGTATTTAATGTATTTAACCCGCTGTTGGTGAGTCTAGTCTGTTTATGTCAAGTCTGCTCATGCTATGTCTGTTCATGTCAAGTCTGTGTCTCGGATTATTGTTTGGATCACTCTGTAAATAAACTGCACTTGGGTTCTCACTTACGCTCGCCTTCAGTGGATTGATCTTTACACCAGTAAGGTTTACATAGATACAATCCTTTACAATAATGAATGTGCCTGCCAATGGAACAATGCTGTCCTTACCTCCCCCTCACATGAATATACATAGACCTTTAGCCATGGTAGCTATGGAGGAGGGGCATGGTTTCCACCTTCATCAGGGACTCATTAGAATTAGAGAATATGTAGTTACAGGGAGTCAGCAATCTATGTACAGTAACATGACCAAGATGAATCAGATGACTTTATATGCCTGGCTCCTTCAAAGTAAGCACAATTTAAGGCAGACCTCCTTAGAGAGACTTCAAAAGCAGGTATGGATTTACACAATGTAGTTAACTAAAATATTGTTATCAAAATATGTGTGTGCAATAAATCAGTCCCTTTTCTTTATTTCTGCACTATTTGTTTTACTGTTAGTTAAAAGGACTTTGCGCAATTTAAAACATGCCTGAATACATGCAAGATGTCATTCTAACAAAGTTGTTATGTGGCAAAGCTTGAAATAATTAGAGAACTGGAACATTTTTTAATGTCTTTCCAATACTGAACAATAAAAAAATGGTCAAAAGAAAAAAGAAAACAAATGCTACACCTGCTTTTCTACATACAAAATCATTTAATTACTTGGTTGAATTATTTGTTTTGAGTTTACTAAAATACTTACAGAACATGTGAGTTGCTATGTTGGTGAATATTACCAACAGCAAACAGGGCACAGGATAGAGAGAGAGAGAGAGAGAGAGAGAGAGAGAGCAGAGACTGTGTTCACACTGTGATCTGAATCAGATGGAAACAGAACTGCACTTCCTAAC